AGATATGAGCTCAAGAGGGTGTGGCCACCCACTCTGGCAACCACACAGGTCTCAGTTTGCATAGAACACTGGCCCGAATTCGCAGGTCTGCAGTCAGGCTGAGCTTCGTGGCCAGAGGCAGCTCGCTCCCCCGCTGACTCCTGCCACCTCTCCTGGGAGCTAAGAATTCTTCTAGAGAATGGAGCTCTCTGCGTACAGCTGAGCCTCCAGCGCCCAGAGTCCCACCTTGGAGAACCAAAGTCAAAGCAGTTTCCCTCCCATGAGGAGTGACTTTTCTGGGCTTCCTTGGGTGTTGTGGGATGAATTTTTGCCAGCCACGGAGAGCAGACAGAAACGCACCTGGCGATCACGCCCCAGCATCTTACTCTCCTCGCCTCACAAACTCTCTCCACGAACCCATCATCCCCATGCCATATCCATGACGACCCCTCTCGGCTCCTGAAAGCTCTCGGGCCCCTCTCTGCTGGCGACGCTGCCCTTCCACACTGCTGGAGCCTGGGGCTAGCCAAAGGCCAAACCAAAAAAAAAAAAAAGGGAAACAAAAGCAAACAAAAGAATTCCCCTGACCCCCCAATAAACACATACACATACACACACACAAAAGAGCAGGCTTGTGGGAGAGGAAGCTCCCACCAGCATCTACCCTGCGGGGGCGGGGGGGGCCCGGGGGTCCCCTCATTGTTCTCCCTCCCCAGGCCTGTGATGACAATTCCAGCCCCGGACAGGTTGCAGCCCCCCTGCCCTGCAGCCAGCAGCCCTCCTCTTTTCCCACCTTGGGCCCCCTGAGAAAGACGCCTTGAAGCAGATGTCATAGGCCCAGGAGCAGTTCCCATAGGAGGAGGAAGTAAGAGCTCACAAAAGGCTGGGCTTTTCCCTGAGGAAGCAGTGGTGGCTTTTCAGTGACTGACTCCTGCAAGGATGAGGGACAGGGCAGGCCTGGACCCAGGGGACAAGAGCCAAGAGAGGAGCTAGCTCTTGGAGGAAAGAAGGGCATTGTGAGCCCTTGTTTACGGTGCTGGCGGGTGGGGGGGGCGGGGGGGTGAGCCGTGACCTTGCTGCTTGTCAACAGGCCCGCTGCTCCCCCTCTCCCCACAAACTTCACGCATTGTTGTGGAGTTGGCCCATTCATAATTTTATTTGGGGGTGGTTGTTTTTCGGCCTCCAGCCCCTCCTCCAACTGGCTCACTTTCAGCATTGTCACCCGGATAAAAAGCAAGATATCCTTCCCCTTTCCGGAACCAGCTTCCTATCCTGGCCTTGCTGGCTCTCGAGTCTGTTAACCCTTAGAGGAGCAGGACTGGGCGCCCCTGAGCCCACAATCTGGTAGGGCAGGTGGGACTCGCATCCCACCTCCCTGCTAGTTGCTGGGGACAGAAGCACAGGGTCCCAGGAAGGGCTTGGAGAGAAGCAGTTTGGGATCGTGGATTTAAACACTGAACTGCCTGATTGTTGGGACACGGGGACAGATAATAGGGTGAGAGGCTGGAGTGTTAGGGACTGGGGCTGTCCCGGAAAAGGGGTGACATCTTGCCAGTCCCAGGAGAGCACATGCATTTTCAAAAGGAACACTAGCAAGCCAGGGGGCGGGCAGGAAGGGGCTGCAAGCTGACGAAAGGCCTACAGGCCCGAAGTAGTGTTGAAAGCAGGGCATTATGTGGATCAGGGTGGTCTGCATGGAGAAGACCAGGAGGCCGTGGTGGGGGCTCCCTGGAATACGAGGGCCTGTCCTGGAACAGAGGTTTCCTCTGAGCAATTTAAAGGGCACAACTTGGACCAGGCTGAAAGGTACTGTAGGCCTAGTTCATATAAAGGATGCTCCTGGATGCAGGAGATGGGATGCAGCCCTAGGAAAGCAGTGAACCCTGTCACCAGGAGCAGAGCCTGAGTATGGAGGAGCCAGAGGACACCCAGGTACCACTGAGACCAGACGTGCGGGGGCTGGAAGCAGCAGCTCACCTCGTGACCAGCTCAGGGCCATACGGAGAGCCCAGGGCAGAGCCAGGATCGGAACCCAGGAGAACTGCTCTCCCCTCCACGTGTTCAAACCGAGGCCGGCTGCCCCTGCTCCGTGCGAGCCTGCAGACCAAAGGCCATCCCAGGGAGCCGCGGTTCCTTCTGTTCTGAGAGCTCAAGCTTCAAGCCCTCGTTGACCTTACCCTCCTACTCTGCTTGCTCTTCCTTCTTGGCACCCTGCACATTTTCCCCATTTCTTATCTGACTTGGTCCCCTACCTTCTCTCTTTGCATCCCTGGTTCAAGTTTAGGAAATCCACAGGCTACCTGGTGCTCCCAGCCAGCTTGCTTCCCTCACTGGAACCATCTCCCTTCCTAGTTTTCCATCCCCACGTCCCATGCCTCCAAGGCCTTCTGTCTAACTTTTTACAGCTCACCTGCCCCCAAAGAACTTCCCCTGATGGCTCCTAAAGGCTCTGAGGAGTCCTGACCTCTGCACTCTGCATCAGTCACACCCCCATTTGTAATGCATCATTTGCCCCCACGGATGGATGTATCATGTCCCAGGCGTTTCTGAGCAGTTTCTGGCCTCTACTCTGTAGTTAACATGGGGTCATTTAGGGCTCTACTCTGTAGTTAACATGAAAGTTTTTTGGAAGACGAAGCCTCACTTCTGCTCAGGCATCTGGGGCTCTAACAGGATATAAGGAAGATGGTGCCCCTGCCCTCACAGAGCCCACTGGTCAATAGCATCCTCCAGGCTCCCCCCGGCAGCCCCGTTTCCTTGCATGGTGGGCTGTATGTCCTGAGTTGTCCATGCATTGGGGGTGCATCATTCTGTTCGGCTGCCGTAATAAATTACCATAGACTGGAAGGCTTAAATAATCGGTGTTATTTTCTCACCGTCCCGTAGGCTGGAAGTCCGAGATCAGGTGTCAGCAGGGTCGGTTTCTTCTGAGGCCTCTCTCCTTGGCTTGCAGATGGCTGTCTTTTCCTGTGTCTCCACGTGGTCTCCCTTCTGTCTCCTCGTCCCCTCTTCTTATAGGGGCACCAGTCAGATTGGGTCAGGACCCACCCATAGGACTTTATTTTAACTTACTTACCTCTTAAAAGGCCCTGTCTCCAAATGTGGGGATTTAGGGCTTCAGCATATGAATTTTGGGGAAACACAAAGCAGCCCAGCCCCAGGGGCTTGGAGGTACTCTAAAATCATCTCCAAGAGCTCACTGATTCTGTCTAGTCAAGTGGCCAAAGAAATAGAGCAATAATTAGGAAGGAAGAACAGTGGCGTCTGAAATTAAAGATGAGGTGAGGGCTAACGTCTGGAGAGCCCTGGTCTCTTCCCTGGAGAAGCTTGTCCCTCCACCTCAGCTGTCTCCTCGGTGTGCGGCCTGTCGTGTTTTGTTTGCCCTGCAGTTCGCCCATGGCCATCCATGCATTTTCGGTTAAGGTCTCAGCCAGGCCTGGGTATAAGGGTAATGATATTTGTGACAGTGACAGAGCGGGTTAAATGGAGGTTGGGTCCACTTTTGGGAGGTGGACAGTGCATTGTGAAACGTGGTCTAGCTGGGGGCGGGGAGGGATGTGTGGGGTGGGACATTTAGGGATTAACGGTGCCCAGAAACTCTGCTGATTCTGACCCACAGAGGCCACACAAAGAGTAGGGTAGGCAAAACCCTTCCCAGGAATGTCACGAAATAAGATCTAATTTCGATAGGTAGAGTGAACTTGGGAGCCAACAGATTTAGGCCTAATTCTTGCTTTTTCCGAATAATGGATTTTAGAGATTGTGAGCCTTCTAAGGAATATGTACGTGTGTGTGTGCTTGCGTGCATGCATGTGCGCGTGTATTTGTGTGTGCATGCGTGTGCATGCGTGTGCATGTGTGTGCGTGTGTGTGCATGTGCGTGTGTGCATGTGTGTGTGCATGTGCGTGTGTGTGTGCATGTGTGTGTGCATGTGTGTGTGCGCCTTCATGGCCTGCAAGTGGTTAAGTGTCCGGATGAAGGTAGGAAAGGACTCGGGTCTATGAGAGTGAGGTGGCTGCCATTCAGGCGACAGGACACCAAGCCCCCAGTGTCATCTGGGAACAGGCGAGGGCCCCCAGGTCTCTCCACAGCCCACTCCTCTTCCGAGCCTTCCTTCTGGCTCATTCTTGGTCTGCTTGCTTTTCTCCAGGGAGCTCCTGCTTTAGAGACCATCAGGATTTGAGAGTGGGGATGTCTTCTGCTCAGAATCAATGAGGGGTGCTGAGAAACCCTTATGCATAGCACTCTACTCTGGATCCCAAAGACACACCCTGGGAGTTCTTTTGTGTGCTTCTCACCATGGCATTGAAAGCGGAGGACAAAACCATCCTCATTGTACCTCGGCTGAGAATGCTGGCCCTGGGCTTGACAACCAGAGGGATCAGGGCTGGGATCCTGGCTCAGCCACTTAGCAATGTGTGATTTAGGGCAAAGTTGACCTCTCCACATCCCAATTTCCTGAGACCTAAAGTGAGGATGTTAATACTTGATGGAGAAGTTTTGTGGTGGTTGATGAGATGAGAGATGTAAACATGAAACGTTCTCATAGTAGGCGTCAGCCCCTCTTCTTCACCTGCTGCCCTCGATGGTGGCACGCGGTTAGCCTGCGGTCATGGGGTGCAGTGCCAGGACTGAGACTCAGAAGCACATTGTCTCTACCCACCCTCTGCCTGTCTCGAGAGAGCTCTCTGCTTAGTTGTCCCACCTCAAGGCTGCCTGTTACCTGACACTTCAAAGTCTGGGACTAAGATGAAGTTGAGATGATCAGCATATTTTCTTTCCCACTTTCCAATACCAGTGGCCTCCAAAGTAGCAAAACCCTAAACAGAACTAAGATGGCAGACAAAGTAACGTGGACACTTCTCAGAACCCATGGTGGGCTGAGGGTCCCCTAAACTCACAGAGCTTCACCTCCCTGGGGTCTGCCAACCAGCAGTTCAGAGGCTGCGAATGGCTGGCCTTGCTCACTTGTCCCCCGCTCTTTCCTCGTTTGTCCCCTCAGGCATCACTCATCACTTACCAAGCCCCAGTAGATCAAGGCCTGGCACACAGTGGAGAGCAGCCCCACACCCTCCTGGTCCTCCCAGAGTTGACTGATCAGCTCCCCGCACTCCCCCGCAGCCACCAGCAGCTGAGGAAGAGAGGGAAAAGACAAAATCAAGAAAGGCCGAGCCCCCACACGCTGCCTTGGGCTGAGCCCGGAAGCCCTCGTGTCATTCCCCCACGTCATTCCCAAAGCTCTTCTCCAATCTGGGACTCGGGATCAGAAAGCAACCGAGTCGCTTTGAGACCCAGCTCCCGCCCGAGGCAGGGCCCCTTTCCCACTAGGAGGATGCAGAAGAGTCGAGCTTGTCGATGGCATGTCCCGGGAGACAGGTCATTGAGACCCAAAAGAGAAAGTCGTGATTTTCCCCTGGCAAACCCATTCCCTATGTGTGGGATGGAGATATGACCAAGGCTCCTCCATGACCAAACTTCAGTCAGGTTCCTCTGAGGCCCCTTTTCGAAGAGGCCTCATCCTGTGGCTTTTGTGTCCTTCCTTTCAGAGTCCAGTTTTAGCAAGAGTCTTGCTAAGTCAGTTTAGAGAGAATCTTCCACCCTTGGTACCTGATCATCCTCAATGTCTGTCCAAATTCCTTGGTCCCCACAACCCTCCGGGTGATATCTGATCACCCTGGCCTGCCTTCAGCGAAAATCCTCTGAAGTCATTTAGCAAGAATTCCCCTACCTTGATGTGCATGTGTATGCCTGCATGTTCGCATGTATACCCGTGTATCCTCTTAGTAATTTCCATCCACTGAGCCCACCTGTCCTTACTGTATTCAGAGTTGAGCCCCATCTCTCGCCCCTGTCTCGAGAGCCTTGACACCTGTCACAAAAGCCCTGCAGTCTTCCCATTTGTTTTAACAAGTGTCAGAATAATCTTTCCTTTAACAGATATTATTAAAAGTGAAAAAGCAAACAAGCAAATATCTGCTCTGTTAGAGTGACTGTTGAATATGAGTTTTATGAGTTTTCTAACTGGCCAACTTTTGGAGAACAATCTTGAGGTTTATTACTAATACACAGAGTCGCGATCAGGTGGGAGATCTGAGGCTGCTGGTTTCTCTTTCAGGGAAAAAAATCTAGAGACGTGGACAGAAGTCTCAGCAGCTCCAGCCATCGGCCCTGTTACTGACCCTAGGCAAAAAGGGACCACCACTCTGCTAGTGGCTACCAAAGCTGGACAACTATTTATTGAGCATCCGAGTTGAAAAAAGGAGCCTGAGCTCATGGCCGTTAACCATGACCATGGTCCCTGAGCTCAGGGACCCGGCCACTGAACTGAGATAGTGATTTCCCTCACCCTCTGACAGTCTCCCATCATCGCGGAGCGCTGGCCGAGGGCCGTTGTGGGACCTTTGACATCTGGAGATGATCGGTGATTTGGCTGGAGATGGTCTTGCTCTCTCTAAACAGAGACTTCTCTCCACGGGCCACATCCAAGGGGAGGATTTGACTCTTCCATATTCGCAGCACTTGGGAACTCAAAGAGACACTACGGATCTGGCCCACTCCCTCACTTGAGTGTTGGGACAGAACCACTGCGTGGAATCCCTCGCCAGATGTAAACCAGTGAATACGTGGGCAAAGCCAGGACAGAACTAGGGATGGCTCCCTTCCCAGTTAGCGGGATCCCACATCATCACTGCTGAGAGGACTCAGAAAGGAACTTCACAGTCATTTGTCACCTTCGTGGTTGGGAGAAAACTATCCTTTACTCAAGTTTTCTTTGTGGGAGGAGGAAAAAATAAGAACCCGCAATTCAGTAGGGAATACAATTTTAAAAATAAGCCTCCCGGTCAGTGTGTTTAATGCCCGCCCCGTGGGGATCCTCGGCCCATAACTTAGGAGCACAATGGCTTTTCTTATTATGAATGAGTGTGAAGTGCCAGCAGAGGAAATAGGAAGCCCCCAATGTAGTCTGAATGGACCTGTGAACAGGGATAATAAAAGTTGTCCTGGATTTCCGTTACCTCCAGGTGTTTCCGTGGGGACCTCTATTCATTCAGGCTTGGGGATGGCCACGGTGCCAAACCTCCCCGGCCCAACCCCGGCCCCTTGCTCCACTCCCCTGACCTTGCTGTATCCACTAGTGGCCATTTGTGCCTGGACCCCTGGGACTCCGTGATGGGCATGTTCTCACCCCAACTCTGTGGGCTTTGCTCTAGAGTGAAGGAGAGAGCAAGAGGTAGGAGGAAGGATGAGACCACCGGATTACAGGCCCCACTCAGCTGGATAAGAGAGGCTCATGAGAGGGAAGGTGCCCGTGGAGACAGGTGGGTCAAAAGCCATGGGTGACAGAGACATGGTGAGGGACTTGGGCCAGGAGCCAGAAGGTCCCCAGCAGGAGGGAGAGTTGGGTTAGGAGCTGAGAACACCATCTGTGAGGGAAGGCTGACACATCAACACAGGCGCACATCCAGAGAGCTGGAGGCAGACACCCGGAGGCCTGCCCTCTGTCTGCCATTGACCTCCTGGGACCTTGAACAAAAGGGAAAAGGAGGCGTCTACATGGACCAAGCAGGAGAACAGACAAATGAAGTCGGCCTGGTGTCAGAAGGGGGACTGTAGGGGACAGGAGTTCGCTGGCCCTGTCCCTGTATTCCAGAGTGACACAGGCCATAGAACACATCTGCCTGCCTCCAGGTGAGGAACCCCACCAAGGCAGCCTCCCTCACTTGAGTGTTGGGACCGAACCACTGAAGAAGCCACTGGAATGGCAAGGCTGCACCTGAACTATTTTAACCAAGCAGATTCATAGATATGCTGCCCTGTGGGGCAGGGTGTGGAGACTGTCATTCTGAAATGGGAGGTGGTGGTGGATATGGACATACATCATAAATGACTTGGCTTTCTACACGGTCGATGGGTTACGCCACACATCGACCGGCCGGACAACAAATCTTGAAACTGTCATGGCTCTGACCCCTGCACAGGGAATTGATCACTTCTCCCCATCACAAGTAAGAAGGCCCGCCCCTTCCAGGAAGCCTGTCATGACTGCTTAACCTGGGGAGATGCTGCCCAGAATCCATGGATAGCTGGCCCCATAGTCACTAGCACATATTAGTCGGGATCATTCCCTTCCGGCAGCATCACTAATGGCAGACTGCAGGACCTCCAACCAGAAACCCCAAGCCCTACCTCTTCTAGCCTCTTTCGGTTCCTTCCACAGGACAGGTCTGCGAGCCAAACAATAAACATGTACTAAGAACCTGCTGGGAGGAGAGCGGCCCTCTGGTTGCCATTGTTTGGAGAGCAAGTTCTGACTACGGACAGTCCAGGTGTCTGATTCATATCTTTGTTAGTCACCTAAGGCCTTTGGTAATTAGCAAGTAGAGTTATGCATCACAACGTCCAAGGTAACGTACATTTTCAGTTCCCCGAGGCAACATTGATGCTAATGAAACTGGTAATGATGATGTTGATGATACACAGATAAACCGCTTCAGAGTGAATACAGAGCTGTATACTTTTCATAGCATATATTTTATTCTGGGTCTAGTAACTACATGAAGAAAGAAAGGTGTGTATTATTGCACAGGTAAGAGCACGGGGGCTCATAGAAGCGTGTGGGTCTCGTGTGCATCAGAGTTCTCTTACCTAGTAAGTGGCAGAGATGATCTTTTGTTTCATCAGCCAAGAAAGTCAGGTCTTCAGGGTGCTGTCTACCATGGGGGCTTAACCCAGAAGATGCTAAGTGGGCTAAATATTGTTGTCTACACTGGGGAAACCTGTTGGCTCTGAACACCCCCGGGACCAGATGACTTTGGTCTTAACAACAAATGCAGGAAGCTAACCAGGCCTACCTAGGGCCTGTGTCAGACCTGGAAGCATGGCAATGATGCCCTCCCTTCTCCAGCCTTCAGCCTGTACACACGCACTGGGCGCGGGATCACCAGGCACAAAGCAGGCGAGGTGTGTGGCAGAAAAGAGAGTGCCGAGCCCAAGGCCAAAAATCTGTGTCCAATTGCAAGGCAGCCACTCGCAAGCTATGTGGTCCTAGGTGAGCACCTTCCCTTCTGGCCATTAGTTTCCTCAGCTGTAAAATGAGGGAATTAAATGAGATACTCTTTGTATTGCTTCCAGTTTTATTATTGGATGATTCTACAATGGCTCCAGTGCCCCTTGGGGCCCACTTGCACCCTTTGGAAGGCCAGCCAGCGAAGGTTGCTAAGATGTCATCCCTTTACCTGGAAGAAGAAAAAACTGAGAGCAGGAAGCAGGTGCTGCTCTGAGCTGAGAGGGTCTTTCCCACCTGCGCTTGGGTGCCCTAATCCCAGACGCCCTCCAGGGCAGGGCCCTGGAGCGAAGCAGCAGACCCAGCGGCTGCTCTGGGGGCCTCCCCGCCCCCCTGCAGCCTCACTGGCCCCAGCTCTCCCTCCCACCCTGGAGCACTGTCTCCCCCACCCTTTCTCCTGCCAAACCACATCACTTGCAGTTTTGCAATTTCCACACTGAGCTCAGACTCACTTTCCAGAAAGCTCTTCAGGCACAAACCAGGACAGCCCCTCCCTCCGTCCCTCCCAAGCTCCCCTTGGCCTAGACCTTACAATACTTTGGGCATGGCTGTGTTGACCATAGATTTCCTTCTGTTCCTCATGCTTTTTGGATGGGAAGGATGGGAGTTGGGAAGAACTGGTGGGTTGGGGTCACCATGAGTTCATGCAGATGTAGTTTTGCACCTGAGTTTCTGACTTGGCCTGAGGTGGCTGCCAGGGCGGTGAGGTGGCTGAACCAGCAACAGAACAGCCATCCACAGGGCTAAAAATTTAGTCACAGAATCCCCGTGGAAGCAGGACAAGAATATGACCACCAGCAAGACCCCTGCTTTTATACCTCTGGGGCAGGGAGAAGTTGTAGACACACAGAAGAAACACAGGGTTTGGGATTCCTAGTTGATTAACCATCTCATCATCATGAGATGCATCCTGAGACTTGCTTCATTGCTCCTGAAAGCAACGACAAGCCCAGGTCAGATGCCTTATGCTCCTGGAGGCTTGCTCAGCTCTCCTGAGCCCAAAAGAGTCAAGGAGGTTGCACCGCCCCTGTGGCTTTGCGTATACCACCGATGCCCTGCGTTTTAGT